GACATGCTTTTAATTTATCAACGCAGTACCAGTTTACGTAAATACAGTACCATGCCTTTTCCTAATCTCGATCGCAATGAGGCTTCGTTGAACAGACTACTGGTGGACGAGTTGAATTACGATCGTCGTGCACTGTAATTGAGAATGAGGAGTTGGTTGCCAATATGAATGATGAGCAGCTCGCTCGATAATGTACTCGGTTTACAGTAACCACGGACGCATGTTTTTCGAATATGGTTATGGAGGCACCGGTAAAACTTATATCAAGAGGGACTTGTCTTCAGCTTTGTGGTCGAAGGGCGAAATAGTGTTGAATGTTGCATCCAGTGGTATCGCTTCACTTTTGTTCCTGGCGGACGCACTGCACATTCTCGATTCAAAATCCCCCTAAACCCAAATTACCCAACGGAAAGTTCTTCGCGTGATATTAGCCAACAAAGTCGTTTGTGGAATTGATTATACTGTGTCGGTTGATCATTTGGGATGAAGCACCGATGATGAGTAAGTATTGCTTCCAGGCGATCGACACTACCTTACGAGCTTTAATGGAGATAGTGGATCCATCTAGGAAAAATCTTCCATTTGGCGGCAAGTATATTGTATTTGGGGGCAATTTCAGGCAGTTACTCCCCGTTGTCCTAAAGTCACTCGGAGTGACATCGTGAATGCCACCATCAATTCATCCAATTTTTTGGCGGGATTGTATTGTTTTGAGACTTGATCGAAATATGAGGTTCCGATGCCTTGGTGGTGATGACGAGTACGATGAGCTGAGGCATTTCTCAGAGTGGCTTGCAAGCATTGGCGACGGTCGGTGGATCAGACGACGGTTGTGACGATATCCACATTCATGACGACATTCTTCTAAAATCAAAAGGGAATCCTATTGCTGCATTGTTGAGAGTACGTGCCCCAAGTTCAGGAGTTCATGAGACGATCTTAGCTATCTCAAGGACAGAGTCATACTCGCTTCGACACTTGATGTCTTTGAGTACATTAATGAGTACATGAGCTCATTGAATTCCCCCGAGAGAATGACTTATTTGAGTTCGGACACCGCTTGCAAGTCAGATGCTAGCATGAATTTCATGCTCCTGAATTTCTCAATGGGATTAAGTGCTCAGGGCTTCCGAATCATAAATTGCAGTTGAAGGTCGGGAGTCCAGTGATGTTGCTGAGAAACATTGATCATTCCATGAGGCAACAGTACCGTTGATCAAAATTCTATCTATCATTTATATTTTATTTGATTCATGTACAAATTCGATTGATATGTTTTTGCTCTCCGAATTTTGAGATCAACAGGTACTCGATTGGTTATTACTAAGCTCAACAATCATGTCCTCTAATGTAAAATTTTAATTGGTGCCAGATTTGGTGAATAAAGTTCTTATTCTTAGGCTCACATTCATACCATCCAATTTGAGGGTACCTTTCAAGTTTCAGCGCATGCCGTTTCCACTCATGGTTTCCTATGCGATGACAATTAAATTGTCAACTACAATCTCTGTCGCACATCGGCTTACTACTGAAGAGCCATGTATTTAGCCATGGACAATTGTATGTGGAGCTTTCTAGAGTTACGAGTCGGAAGAGTTTGAAGATAATGATTTGTGGTAATGGAGCTTCTGACGATAGAAAAGCCACAAACGTTGTATATAATGAAGTATATAATAATATTTTGATTTTCTTTCTTAAAACGATTTTTTTTCAATGATTATGGTATAATTTTTACTACAATTTATATTTTATAATATTTTTTTTCTTTATTATATAGCTCACCGTACAAATGCATGAGTTACAACTAATTAAGTCGTACGTGACCCAACTACCGCAAATACTTAGGTGTGCCCTGACACACCTTGCTAGGTGTGCCAGGGCCTTTTGTGAAATATACCCTCCCTAAAAGCGCGTGAGGTAAGAAGGTAAGGTTTTTTTTTTTAAATGGGACATGTGTCCCATTTCTATTGGGCAATAAAATTCATATATAATATTTTATAAATTATATTATCATTCATATTTTGTATCAAAAAATAAAAATAAAAATACAAAAAATTATAATTTTTCATTATCTACAAATAGAGACCATATTTGATATTTTTTGAAACACAACTAATTTATCATTTTTTACAATTAATATATCTTATTGGAAGATTATGACATAAATCTATAATTAGATGAATATATGTTACATAGTAAGATGAACATGTTATAGAGTAAAATGAACATGTCATAAAATAAGATGAAAATGTTACATTTTCACAGATGAAATTTAGATGAACATGTTCTAAAATAAGATGAACGTGTTACATAATAAAATAACATGTTATAGAATAAGATCAACATATTACATAATAAAATGAACATGTTATAGAATAAGATGAACATGTTACATGCACAATAAGGTGAATATGTTACATAATAAAATGAGCATGTTATAGAATAAGATGAACATGTTACATACACAATAAGGTAAACATATTACGTAGTAAAATGAACATGTTATAGAATAAGATGAACATGTTACATGATAAAATGAACATGTTATAGAATAAGATGAACATGTCACATACACAATAAGGTGAACATGTTATAAAATAAGATGAATATGTATTATTTCAATCTGCAATCTGTAATATGTTCATTATATTTAAAAATATATTCATTTTATTGTGTAACATGTTCTTTATATGTCAATATAATAAAATAATTACGAAAAATTATGAAAAATTATTAAAAAACGAAAAATTAGTTGTGTACATAAACCTATCAAATGTGGTATCTATTTATAAATAATGAAAAATTATGAATTTTAGTATTTTTATTTTATTTTTTTAATATAAATAATTAATAATATTTTAATTTATATAATATGTCTCATTTTTAAATTAAAAAAGGAAAAATAGAAATGTGCACTACAGTCTCCAAATTTTCTTATTTTTAGGGTGAGAAAGGCGCGTGCAAATCTGCCCTGACACACCTAGCTAGGTGTGCCAGGGCACACGGTAGTGCTACTGCACATTATGTGGCCACCAATATTGATAACAATATTAAATTATCAATTATCAATTATCAAAGTGAAACTTCGGATGCATTTTATTTTATCTAAAAAAAACCAGCTGATTCTTGAGCCTTCCAGTTTTCTATTAACAAAAAAATAAAAAATAAATACAATAGAATTTCTGGGTGAGGTGGGGTTAGAAAGTGTCAACTCTTCAATCAACATTAAAAATATTTTTTATTTTTTTTTTAAAAAGTCGGCTCTCCACGACTCATTGAGATAGACATGGGCAAGGGCCGCCCGACCCATCGATCCGGCACGGACCCAGCCCGGACCTGAAACGGACCCAGCTCGGTCAAACCTGTTGACCACGGGTCTTGAATCGGACCGGATTTTTTATGGGTATTGTCAGGGTCATCTATTTCATGACCCGGCCCGGGTCAATGAGCAGCTTATCCTATTTTTTTAATTTTTTATGTTGTTTTTTTTATAAAAATGACGTACTTGGACCTGGCCCCGGCATTGACCCGGCACGAATATAGGTCCGTGGTGGGCCCGGGTCATTGTTTTCAAGCCCGGCGGCCCTGCCCGAGGTTTGACCATGTCTACATTGAGCAATAGAAAGCCAAAAAAAATAAAAAAAATAAAAAAATCTAGCCTGCTGCAAGAAGCCAAAACATGATCAAGGATGAAATAGCCATAGCTGCCCAACTTAAAAAAGCCAATGCAACAGCAATTTGATACTTTGTGCATTCCTTCACCAAACTGCACCCACCCAAGTCACCAAAGTACAACACAGCAATCCCTGCCGACGAAGACGATGCCGCAAGGGACAATGTCCCGGTCACCTGTCCAAACACCCCCTCACTACTAAATATCACTATTCAAAAAAACAAAACATAAATAATCAACTAATAAATTAAGGAGAGGCTACGGTCCTGTTACAGAACTATTCCGTTGAAATATGTAGCCGTTAGATCAACTACTTCTTACAGTTACATAATGATCTAACGGTTTCAAATCCCAACAAAATGATTTTGGATCGTAGCACTTCCAAATAAATTAATCAAATAATAAATATTCTATCCTTCACATACTAACCCAATCGCCCACTGCAAAGAGGCTCACTATTACAGGATTGTCAACCACATTTTTATTTTTCCTTAATATTGAGTAGGCATCCATGAAAGCAAGACCAAAGCTCCACATCACTTGTAGACCCATTGAAGCAATTAAGTAGCTGTAAACACATAGAAAAAACCATTTACACTCTCTCTCTCTCTCTTTCCTTTTTCTTTTTTGACAAAATTATATTTTTAGTCATGTTGGTTTAACGACATAACAATTTTAGTCTCAAGATTCAAACTACTTACTTTTTATCATGTAATTTAATATTCTGATGTAATTTCAGTCATTTGAAGACTGAATTTACAAGAAAATTTAAAATTACAAGACATAAACTGGTAATAAAAAAAATCATCCCAAAGATTATTTATCAGTAATTGCAGTCCTATAATTTATAATTTTATTGCAGTTTTAGTCCTCAGATAACTGAAATTGCGTCGAATTTTTATAACATAGGACCAAATAATAAAATATTCAGGACTAAAAATGCCACCGATAGTACTAAAATTGCAATTTTACCTTTTTCTTATGTCAAAATGGCAGACTCATCAAAGCCATGATGTATGGGGATGTATAGTCATTATACTACAAAAATCAATGATTTTAATCTGACTTTGTAACAGGGGATTTCAGGATAATTTATAAATCTTTTTGCTCCAGTTATTATATGTTATTTGAAATTAAATAGAAAAAAAAAATATTAATTACCAGAAAGCAGTGTAATTGAAGAAAGTAGTTGTGGTGGCCATTGAAGCAATTGAACCAGCTGCAAATAAGCACTGAGCCATCCTCAAAGCTAGCCCAGTCCAAGTCCCAGGACTCCCTGCAAAATTCTTCATTAAAAAATTCTCTAACTAATTAACCAAAAAAAAATCTATATCTATCACTCATCTATTTTCTGTAAAAGAACAAGGAGCAATATTATTATTGAGGAAGAAAAAGCCCAGAAAGTTCAAAACTAAATAGATATTGGTAAAGAAGTTGCTTCCAAGTTATATTAAAATGATTAAAGGCTCGAGCAAAAAGGGACACATGTAGAAAAGGTATACCCACAAGTGTTGATATGATGATTCATTAATGCATGGGAGATGATACGGTCCCGTTACGGAACTATTGTGTCGGGATTTTTAACCGTTAGATCAACTATCTCCAACGGTTACATAATGATTTAACGGTTACAAACACGACGGAATGGTTTCATAACGGAACCTTAGCATTTCACTTGATTATATTGGTAGCTATTGTTATTGTTATTGAAGAACACACCAACCCCTATAGCAGCCACATTCAAAATTATTTCTTTCTTTTTAAGCCAAAATTAAAAAAAATATTGAAGACCCAGAAATCTGTCCACGAGTTCCATGATGAAAGAAAAGAATAAAGCACGTTTGCCACGAAATGGTGCATAATTGGATTCGATATTGAGATAACTTCTCTTTGATGTGAGTGGAGAACTATGGGTTTCTCTATGTGGAAAGGTTCAATTGCCTACCCAACATTTTTTATTTATACTACTCTAAAAGACGAGAATTTCTGTAAAAATATGAGTTGCCTAAAGCACCTTTACTTTGGTATATTTTTAATGGCAAATTAGTAATACATTAATACACTTCATATTTTTTATTTTCAAATATAAAAATGAACTATCCAAAAAACTCTTACTTTGACATGTTTTTAATGACAAATTAGTAATATACTAATGTCCATCATATCTTATATTTTTAATTATAACTAATATTTAATTATATACAAATACATAAACAAATCATTCTACACTCCTAAAATCAACTACAATATATTAGTATCATTATTTCTCACGAATTTGTTTTCTTCCACATATCTCTAAAACTATTTCATAGGATATAGAATTGTTGTTTTGAAAAACATCATTATTTTTAATATAATTTTAATGGTAATATTGTAATCACATTTCATAACTCTAATATATAAAAGTTCTTTAAAGAAATTAAAATTAATCCAACAAAAAAAGCATAATAAATACTTATAAAACTAGAAATCGATATTGTTTTTTCTCAAGACCACAAAATATAGAAACATTATTTTCAAAATAACCTATAAAAAAATGTGTAATAACATGCGAGGTTAATTGTTGAATGATTGTTCTGCAACCTAAACTTCTAATGAATTTAATTTCTTTGGTACAGAAAGCCAGAACAATTTTATGAAATTGTATAATACTAAATCTTAATCTATTTGTTCTCACGTCAAATGAGACACCACTTTAGCAACGTTGATTACTTTTGACCATGTAATTATCTACAAATTAATTAAAAATATTCTAAGAATCATGATATGATTTACATGTTGAAAATTAATTATTTTTTTATCAAAAAATTATATTGATATATTGTCATTACTCATCTATCTATTAATATGTGTTATTATAATAAAATGGTTTAAAAAAAGGTACGGAATAAAAAAATTATATATTTGAGTATAAATGAGAAGATTATGATTATATATAATATAATATAAAGATATAAAATTAATTGATATAAATAAGACATATAACTCAAAAAGTGCTATATTTAATTTTATGTATTTTTTAACAAACCTAAAAGTTATACACACACACACACACACACACATATTAAAAACATATGAAAGAATAATTTAAAGTTAAAAAATATTAAATCTAATAAATATTATTAAATTTATAATTAAGTTGTAACACTTACTAATAACTATGAAAAAAAGTAATAAATAAAAATATTATAATTAGTAAAATAATTATAAAACTTTTAAAATTTGTACTTATCGATGTAAATGAGCCAAATTGTTCACCGCATATTAAAAGCGCTTATTAGTTCTGTGTATAAATTTTAGACGATAGACAATAGTTATTTATACTTTTATCCATGTAGGTTAGAAATTTATTTTTTAAAAAAAAAAAAAAAACCTTAGTTATTTTTATTTTAAATAATGTTTTATTTTCTATTAGTTTTTTAGTACAATATATAAATACCATATTATATATATATATACAATAATAATGTTTTATTTGCTATTATTTTATTAATCAATATTTAATGTGCAAGAAATGTAACTCAATTGATAAATTAATAGGTAGACTTGCGAAAATAATGAGTGATTTCTAAAATAATTGGATTAAAAAGTTCACGTGTTTAATAATATCATTGCAGAAATGAAGTAAAATATAGAAAAAATAAACTCAAATGTGATTTTTTTTTTATTTAGAATTAACGTAATGATGTGTTCATGTAAAAATAGTGAAATAACGTTTTACAACCTCCAACAAAAATATATAAAAAAAATAAATCCCTAGTAAAAAAACACAAATATTTTCTTTCATTTTGGTTTTGACGTTCTCATAAGAACATTCATAGTCGTTGGAGTCCAATACATCAATAATATTGCAAAATTTCTCTTAATTAATTTGGCAAAACGTCAGTTTTATTCAAACACTTAAGAAACATTCTGACCCAACATATATTCAAATTTCATGATCGCATGATCTTTATAACAAGGTACTTCTACTAACAAATGATAAATATCTCTATGAAATAACTAACGGTATCACTAAAATTGCTGATATTTTTTATCACTGTATAAACTACTAATTCCTCTTAATTAATTTTACATTCCTCTGTCTCTAGATATATTGGTGTCTACCCTATTGATGCATCGCCCCACGAGTGGGAATGAATTTTATCTCCAAATAAAAGTTGACTTTCCAAAATCTGGGTTACATGTACTTCTCCCGAGGTGCTAAATTATTTTTTGAAATCACCATACATTACCTGAAAGTACCTCTAAAGTAATTGCACATATGTTCAAGCGCAATACACCAATGAGATTATATATATTTCTATAAGAAATGACAACTTCATTCTAACATTCAAAACTGTTTTGATACTCATACATTTCATTTTCAGTGTTATTTATTTAGAATATAGACGAACAATATAATCTATTTTTTGCAATGATAAAACAAAACAAACAAAACAATGAGAAAATATTGAGAAGAATATCATTTGTTAAAATATTTGACAGCAGAAGAATTAGAATTCCATTATAGGACGATACTTTAGTCATCTGTAAAGTTTATTATTATGGAGTCATGATTAAAATATACATCATGTATACAAATTTTTGAATTTTTTAATTATTTTAAAATTGAAAATAAATAATATAGGTTCCTTACTTATGAGAACCAATTTCTTACAGAGTCCATATATTTAAACGCTAGCAACAAAAAAGTAGTAATTTTAAAAGACTTTTTGTTTGTAAATATTGGTATTCATACTTTTCTAAGAAAATTAGCACGTTTTCTTTTTCTCATTGCATTACTATTATATTATTTGTTTCTTATTCTATAGACAAATAATATTTTATTTGCTAAATAATTAATGCACATTTATACGTATTACGGTATTTTTCGTATGTGCTTTATATAATGATTTTATCAAATTGTCTTATTTATTAGGCTACAATTAATATAATCACATAAAATTAAATGTAATGTAATATATTTGATAAAACTGTACTTTTTATATGAATTAATATTAAAAAGTTTAGAATTTTTTCCAATGTTCGATAAAATATTAATTAACTAAGTCATTTTCATAATCACTGAATACATATATGGTACCACCATTATATGGTTCTTTTTTCAGCAGTAATTGGCTTCACATAGCTAATCATGTTATTTGCATTTGCCATAATTTCAGCATTACGACAAACGCGTGTCAAATATATATCGGATTTGGGCGCTCTAGCCAAAACGTGGGAACAGTTAGAAGTTTATACCCATTTTTTTACTTTTTTTTAATATGAATTGTTTCAAATTTATGTCTGAAAACATACCATAAGTTTATCTTATGTTATTTTATACTTAATAAAATTGATTTAAGTTGAATATAAAATTTATTACATTATATACTTTAACACCAATTTATTATTTTAAATTAGTACTGATATATATATATATATATTATTTTATATCAATATAAATAATTATATTATTTTTATGTTATTGCACTATATGGGTCAACTCAAACATCATAGAAAATAAATGATGTGATATATTACATATAAAAAGGTAACAAATAAAAAATATGAAGTATTTTAAAATTAAAAAATTTAATGATAGAAAGTAATAAAAATCTTAACTAAAAAATTTTAAGATTAACATACCCACTTTTAAAGAAATATACATATGAATATATATATATATATATATATATATATATATTATGTACTTAAAAGTTCTATTTAAAATATATGTGTATCTTAAGTATGTTTTATATTTTCTCATTAGCCAGCTTCAATTGATATTGTACATTAAGTAATTTTATCAGTATTTTACTTTTAGATTTAATGAGAGATATAAGTTTTGTCATCATTCTTACCCCTTATTTAGTTATTATAATACTAATAAAATAATTAAGGATCTTTCAAAGTATCTTGTTTGTTTTGAAAAAAATTACTTCTTATCATAAATTGAACGCCAATTGCATTGAATGTGTTATATTTTCTATCGTATCAAAAATTTTCATAATAATAGTTGCACACAATATTAAATATAATGCATTTTTTTTTTTTTTTTATAGATTTTGAGTCCTAGTTTTACTACAAGAAAATGAGAAAATTCCAACAAAAAATACAACAAATATAACGATTTTCTTATGTTGATTTAAGAAAAATCTTGACTTTTGGTTTCTTAAATATATTTTACCTTATTGTGATTCCATAGATTTATTAAAATGTATTACAAATGAGAAAGGTGATAGATTATGTAAAGTATAATTTATAAATTGCAATGACATGTTATTTTGATGGTATATTTTTTTCTATT